AATGCATGTTTGCGGTGAGCCTGAGGAGTGCCATCGCCAGCGCATCAGCGACCATGTCCCGATTGTGCTCACGTTCGCATCGTGCAAGACGCCGAAGCGTGATCGCCCGATCCCCCAGAGCATCTGCAAGGACCCACTCTTTGCCAAGGTGGTTGCGGAATACGAGAAATTGTGCGGGGTCCAGTCCATCTTGTCCCCTGTTGAGAAGATGTGGGTGGCCGCGAAATGTCGTCAGATCGCAGGCCGCCTCGCCCGCAACCACCAGCTGCAGCGCCTCTCGAATGGCAAGGCGCAGAGGGCGATGATTGCGAGGAGCGTGGCGCGGGCAGTGTGGCGATCGGATACGGCCTTGGCTCGCGCACTTCTGGCTCGACATGCATGGGCGTCCAAGTTCCTGTGCATCAAGGACGGGAGGGTCACACTCCTGAATGCGGGCGGCTTTCGTGATCTCCACTCTGACTTACAGCGGCAGGAAACACAGGAGCGGGCGTCAGCGCTTCAGCGTGCACAGGCTGCTGCTGATCGGCCAGCTGTTGTTCGTCGTCTTGCCGCTCAACGCCGTGCTGCGCAGCGGCGTGCCCGACTGTGGTCTCCCTTTGGGCGACGACGGTGCCTTGCGGGAGTCTATCTTCCCGAAGGCGACCAGAGTGCCGAGGGCGTCGTCACCCACGCGCTGCAGGAGAGGAACTGCGCCCTTGGCAAGCACTGGGGGAAGATCTTCCAGCGCGACCCACCGCTGCACCAGGCGGCGGAAAAATATGCATCCCGCTTCCGCTCTGAGTTCAACTCGTCTGATACCTCCCCGCCCTGCACCCGTCACCTCACCTCCTTCCTCGGCAAGGTCCTGGAGGCGGCTCTTGGCCCTGATGGGCTTCCCTACTGCGCGTGGTCTGTGGGTGCGAAACCTGGGGTCATCATGGAGATGCTCTACCGCGTGTGCTCTGGTGGGGGTGCCCCGTCTTGGTTTGGAGCTTCCCTGGGCGTCTTCCTCCCGAAGGACCTCTCGGCCGATGAGGAAATCCCTGGAGCCGGGATCGTTCGCCGCTGCAACGACACGCGGCCCCTGGGCCTGAATAATACTTCTAATAAGCTGGTGAGCTCACTCCTGAACTTCGGGATCCGCCCGCGGGTCAAGAAAGCGGGGGCCTCCATCCAGAGAGGCTTCATCCAGGGTCGCCAGCATCTTGAAAACGTCCTGGACCTCGACACTTTCACTAGGATCGCCAGCTGGGGTTACTCGGAGTCGGACCCGTTCGAGCCCCTCCTCGTCGCATTCGACTTCGCCCAGGCTTTCCCCTCCGTGTCCCAGCGCTGGGTCTGCTTGAACGTCGACCTCGCGTTGGTGCCCCGTGGGTTTCAGGTGAGTGTCCAGACCCTGTACCGCCTCAATCCGTGCTTCACGGCCTCCTCGGGCTCCTGGGACCTCCTCTACTGGATCCTCTCAGGCGTGGTCCAGGGATGCCCACTGTCTGGAACGATGTATGTGATCGCCTCGAACCCCTTCTACCTCGACGTGGAAATGTCGGTGCAGCGTCGGTTTCACGGCGTAGTGAGGTGCTGCGCCGACGATGTTGGAGGGCTGATCCGCACCGCGAAGGGCCTCAGGGAGATGGTGGGGACCTTTAGATGGGCTGAGCTGCTGGCGGGCCTCATTTTTTCAATCTCGGAAATGTAAGGCTGTCCCTCTCGGCGGACCCTTTTCGGAGGCCCGAACAGCTCGTGCCTTGGATCAGCTTCGTAGGGCGTCACCTGAGTGGAGCTCTTTTCAGATCGCCGACTGGCTCCTCTATTTAGGCTTTGTCTTGGGCCCTGGGGCCTCGCTTGCCTCTAATTGGGATGTGCCGTGGACTAAGATGATCTCCCGAGTTCGGGAGCTCACGAAGACTGGTGCAGATGCTGTTTCCCTCCTCCGCCTCCACGCCACCAGGGTGGCCCCATGCGCATCGTACATAGCTCAGCTCCTCCCCCTCCCATGGGCCCTCGGCCGTACTGAACGCTTCTGGTTTTCGAGATATTGGAGATGTGCTGCCTCGGCCATGGGATTGTCAGACTGGCTCAGCCTCGAGGCCATCGGTGGCCCGAAAATTTCGGCCCTGGTTTCGACGTGTGCTGCTGCTCGGATGCGGTGCGCGCTTGTCGCCCTCCCGCGGTCTTGGCAGCCACTCTTGCGTCGTCTCAGACACGTGGCGGAGCACCACGGTCCCCTCTCTGCCTTGGACTCTTCCTCCCTGTCACTCAGCCCCTCATTCTGGAAGATGGATGCCATTGCCGCCCTGATGGGCCACGCCGCCGAGGGCTTCCCTGGGACCCAGCGACCGCGTGTGGGGGGTGGGCCGTCCTGGGAGGCGGGTGGGCGTGAGGCTCTGCGGATGTTTGGTGCTGGATCCCTGGGAAATCGTCCGAAATGGCAGCGTGTGTTCGGCTCCATACTTCAAAAACAAGTTTTTGATTGCACGATCCTTGTGACGCTTGAACGTCGCCTCCAGAAGTGGTACGGAGAGCCCCCCCCGTCTCGCGGTGATGGGGGGGGGGTGGGAGCGGCTACAAACGCTGCTTGCCTCCCTCCCTAGTGCCTGGAGAATCTGCCTGCTGAAGACGTGGCTGGGAGCATGGCCCACCAACTCTCGTATGCAGCGGTGTGCTCAGTGTGTGCTGGGATGCGAAGATAGCCGCGATTCGGTCGACCACTATCTGGGGTCCTGTCGTCGGCTCCATTGGCTGGCCTCGCTGGCCTGCAGGACCCCGCTGCCGGCTAAGTGTAGATTCAGGCTCGGTCTCCTCGGGTCACCTGCTTTCTGTGTTTATCTATATCACTCGTACCGTCTGGCGGTGCACCGCGGGATCGGCTCTGACCCTGCTCGTGCTATGTCCATTATTCAGGCCATTCGAGTGTCAGTGCGCCTCCCAACAAGGGGGCGCCAGCGGCGGCTCTTCGACCCCCAGGCCCTCCACAACAGCGTGGTGGAGGCGCGAGGGGAGGAGTCTGAGTAGAGTGGGACGTGGGACTCCTTCGGCTACGCTCCACCTCCTCCTCCTCCTTCCCACCCCCCTCCTCATGATTATCCTCCATTTTTTATCAAGTTTCCTTCTTCTCTTCCTCCTCCTCCTCCCCGTCGTCATCTTCATCATAATCATCATCATCATCAGCAGTATCATCATCATCATCATCATCATCATCATCATCATCATCATCATCGTCATCATCATCATCATCATCATCCTCGTCATCTCACCCTCCTCTTTCTTCTTCTCCTCCCCCTCCGCCTTCGCCTTTTCTTTTTCCCCATCCACAGCCAGCGCGGTCTCAAGCGGATGGGGACCTGCTGGGTTGCCGCCCCCGCTACCGAAAGGTCTGGCCAGCCCTCGTGATGGTGGCTATGGCGGCGTGTAGCACCGCCGCGGGGGTCGCACTAGCTGGCGGGCGGGCGAAGGATGCGGCTTTTCTCTTCAGACCCAATCGAAGACTCAATCGAACGATATCAAACTGTCTAGATGTGTTTTGGGTGCACCTAGCCCGGTTGAGCGTGCTTCAGTCGAGGGATCTCCCTCTCGACACCCTTAAGCACATTCACCTGCATGGATGGGGGAGGGGGGGGGGACTCCCTGGCGTGCCGCTCAAGGACAGTTGGACCCCACGCAAGCCCAGACTCGCTGGCCCGTACAGTGGAGGCCCATGCCAACACCCTGCTTGCCTCCAGGGTGCCCTTGGTTTCTTGGGTTTCGATGGCTTTGCGATGGGAAACGTGACGTTCCCACACCAAGAATCAATGGACGTCCTGGGGTCTCAGGGTTGGGTTTATTGTGGAAGGTTTCTTGTGGTCGGGCCCCTACTGTAATTTCAGTGCTGGTTCATGAGGCGGCGGGGGCGGCGACGGCACGACGGCCGCGCCGCCATCTGCGTCGGCGGCGATGGGGACGGCGACGGTCCCTGGAGCTATCGATGCCAGGGGGGCTCCCAGCGAGCTAGGAGGAGGAGGAGGAGGAGGAGGAGGAGGAGGAGGAGGGAGGAGGAGGAGGAGCAAGGAGCAAGGAGGAGGAGCGAGGAGGTGCACGGAGGAGGAGGAGGAGGCGGAGGAGGAGGAGGCGGAGGAGGAGGAGGACAAGGAGGAGGAGGAGGAGGAGGAGGAGGAGGAGGAGGAGGAGGAGGAAGAGGAGGAGGAGGAGCGAGGAGGTGCAAGGAGGAGGTGGAGGATGCGGATGGGGCAGGGGAGGAGGAGCAAGGAGGAGCAAGGAGAAGCAAGGAGGAGGCATCAAGCTCACAGAGGCGGCGAGCTCCATCAAAGCCGCGCTCCAGCTGGGCAGCCAGCCCCCGGGCACCAGCCGCTTTGGTCGAGCCGGCGCGCGGCCGCCTGCCGCCCCGGCTGCGTCGGCGCACCCCCCGGCCGCCGGCCACGCTGGCACGGGGGCCCAGCCGCGCGCAGAGGGACCCAGAGATCCAACCTAACGAAAAAATCAGGACGGAGGTTTTTCGTATTTTTCGGCCTCGAGGGGCCCTCGCCGGGCCCCGGGGCCGTCGAAAAACGACGCAGGACGAGAAACCGGTCCCGGGGAATGGGTCGAGACTTCTGGGGACCCCGTATTGAACAAATCACGGCGTCGGATCTCTGGGGAGGTGGGGGGAGGGGGGAGGGCTTCTTGGAAGCACCCCCGCCTCTTAGGAAAGGGGTGGGCCTCCTCTCTAGACGCAAGGCCGGCGCCTTCCAAGAAGAAGCTTCTTTCCAAGAAGCCCTCCCCCCTCCCTCCACCCCTTGTGCGCACCGCCGACCTCCCCCCTTGCCTGCCCTTAGCTGCGATTCTTCTGCCCTCGTTCGCCATCCCCTGTGCGCGAGCTCAGTGCGCTCTGGCATCCTTCAGTGGCACTCTCCCTCCTCCTCCTCCTCCTCCTCCTCCTCCTCCTCCTCCTCCTCCTCCTCCTCCTCCTCCTCCCCCTGGCCTCGTCCCTTCACCCCTTGTGCGCGCCGCCAAGGGGCGCTGTGCGCCGCGGCGTGCGCGGCGGGCGC